TCAATCTGTGAGTAAACACAGTTGCAACAATGTGATGTAAATAAAAGATAAGTCAGTGTTTTATATTATTTTTAAAAAAAAGCTGTGTACAAGTTTAGACAGCTGCAGTGTCAAGAGGACTGCTCACATCATAGTTATGTGCTCAAAAGGTATACTCTATCACCACCTACTGGAAAAAGGTATAATGAATCTGAATTCAAACCTTCCAGGGTAGATAGGAACATATATATATGACCACACAAGAATTGAATACAGTTTGTGACACAAGTCATTTGTACAACTTTACATTTATACTTTGGTCATTGTGCCTCTTGACTTTACTTTTTGTACTTGTTCATGTGACGTACAACAACCATAAACTGACCGGGCACAGTAAAGGCTTTACAGTAAAAATAAGTGATTATTTAAATACAACTTGAGGCTGATTACAGAGTGAAGACCTTCGGTCCTGGGTTGGTTCTGACTAAAGGCCACCTGAGATTTGTTTTGGAAAACCTCTGGGCACAACATGTGCGACCGGCACTGCTCTCATCCAATCAAACCGACCGTTAGGTTGGCAGAAAAAAGTGTGGTAATCACACACCCTCGGTCACCTAAGGTGTCTGCTGCTCGTATATCTCAGGTGTCATTTAATAAGATCAGATATCACGGCAGTGTGGAGAGTTGTGTAAACTTTATGCATATGCTTTTTACAACTGAGTGTAAATGACGTCAGACTAGTGTTGGCTGCAGACCTACCAGTCTGGCACTAGGGTTTCGATGGTAGAACAAATCCTTGTAGTCTTCCATCCAAACTTCGGCTGCTCTGACGCTGTTGGCCAGAGCTTTGCTGCGGGAGTACGGCGCCTTGTTGGGGAAAACGTGGCCCACGTGGGAGCATGGGTGGATCTCCAGGCTGCCCCCACACTGCCAGATCTAACAACACCGTGAAGGCTGGGTTAGCATTGTATTAATGACTGGTTTAAAAACATGGACTTTTGGTGTAGCTTTAATAACCAGATCCTAAGTGTTTGTTTTATTATTCTGAAGAAAGTTTGAACAGATATACGGTAACAAAAGTTTTACACTTGAAAAGAATGGAAATCAGGCAACATCAAACATATATATAGTCAACAGATGGATTGGATTGGATGAACCAGTTTGGACTAGAACACTTGCCATGACTAAATGTTATGCTCCGCGTGCCAAGCTGTCCCACACAGAGGTGGAGGTGTGAGATAAGGTGTCTGATCAGCTCAAGTCTTTTAATAATGTATAACTGAATATCTCGGTTGGTGCTGATTGACTTGCATCATGTGTTAAAGGGATCACTGTACTGCATCATCGAGCTGCAACGTTAAACCTGTCACTAATAACAGTGTAATATAGTGAAGTGTGCAGCTCATTACTACTGAAAGTGTTCCACTGGCAAATTTACAGTTCTTGTGTAACTGTATAAATACTCCACCGTACATTACCGTACGTTTTAACTGACCTATCTTTATTGACCCAGGTGACGTGTCATCTGACCACAAGCCTTTAGTATGGTATTCATATCGGTGCTGCTTGTCTTCAGCATTCTTCTGGTCCGTGGATCTTTTTAGCACAACAGTTTTTTCTTGCTCTGCAACCTGACATTCCAGGGCAGGGCTGAGTTACTCAGCGGTGTCTTAGGACTTCTGTGTCCTAATACACCTCTGCCCTCACTGTCTTCTTTTGTTTTGTATGGATTTCTCAATAATCCAAAGGAGTCTACTTCTCAGAAATCTTTGACACGTTCTCATAGTTAATATTTTTAGCATGAAATTCCCTTCGTCTTTAGTTCTATACAAGTATTCACTTTAAGCTTAAAGTACTGGCCTTGGGTTTCCTGGAGTTATTCAAATATTTTTGTGGCTGTATGTGGAGTCACATACAATAAATTAAATTTCTGTCATTCTGTCTCCCATTTTTTGGGAGGGAAACCCAGAATCTAATCCCAGTTTCATTTGTCATTCCTTCTTTATAGTTTGAACTGTAGCCACTCATCATACTCTGGGTTGGCTGGTTGCGTCAGAGAATGAGGAAGTGAAATACGATTGAACCAGACGCTGTCAACTTGTTTGCTCCCAGAGTTTATATTGTACTTGGCTGCTTGTGCAGTGCATATTTGATTTGTTTTGTGGAACTGGCAGGTGCGCCGTGGTGCCCTTCACCTCAACCTGAAATAAGTGTTGGACAAACAGTAGCTTCTTACTCTAAATGAAAACTCCAGGTTCTCCCCTCCCCACACCTCCATCCCGGTGTCGTATGTTCCCAGGTAATGGAAGTAGTTCTTGCTCACGGCAAACAAGCCACCGGCCATGGTAGGAGATCTGAGATGAGGAAATAACCGGGATATTGTTAATACTTGTTAAGCAGATTACTTGTGGTAACAAGTACTAGCTGTATCAGCTATTTCATTTGTTAGGTTATGTCAAGGCTGTGTTTGAAATATCCAAACAAAACACCTTTATCACACACCTGATGACATCAGTGGGTGAGCGGCGCCGTTTCTGCTCATAATCAGGGACAGAGTGCCACGTGAAGACCAGTCGCCAATCAAACCCCCCGATCTGAGGTTCCCCAGGGTTTCCCAAGTACTGAAAGGTGTTCCAGTCAATCACATCAATGACGGGGCAAACCACAGCCGACGGTTCCTCCTTGATCCTTGGTGAGATGTTGATATTGCAGGAGCAGTGTGTTATTTCTGGTGTGTGTATTTCGTACACAAAGGTGACAATGTAAACAGTTTCTCTAGTTGTAGATATACTTCTTAGACCGAGGGTATCCTCACCTGTGGAGCAGGGGCTCTAACCAGCCCTCATGACACTCGCAGTGACAGTCTAGGAAGGTCAGCACGTCACCCGTAGTAATGGATGCTCCCAGCAGCCTGGCCCGCACTAGTCCCTCCCTCTTGGTAGCACGTACCAGACGCACCTTGCGCAAATTTGAGATGTAATTTTCCAAGGGCTCTTTCAAGTGAGCTAAAAAAAACAACAAATAAACAAATAAAGTGACGCAATTGAATTAGGAAAGTTTGTGAAAACAGTCCCACCCTTGCCTGCTTGTGTACATAACGCAACAGCTGTGGGAGTTACTTCATTTCAAGGAAAAAAAGCCACAAAGTCACTTAGCTGTTGACATCCTGCTGTGGTGTGAAACAACAATGGATAATTACAGTAGGGCTGGGAAAGTACTTCATTCAATACTTAGTACTCACACTTAAAAGACGTGCTGGTACAGCAACCTGATATATAAGGAGATCAACAAGTCAGCAGTTTGGAGGTCTTCCTTTTTTTGTTGAGTTATTTGACACCATTGTGTGTGTGAAATTGTAAACACAGAAGAAGTTCTACTAAGTTTCAGTGACACTTTGTTCACAGGACAAAGACAGGACAAAGTTTTCAAATGAAATGTTCCATTGGTGTGAAAGCTCTGCTCACTTTCTGTTCAACTGGATGTGTTTAATATGGAGTTTAATTTTATTTATATTTTTTTAAATATCATCCTTAGTTTTATTGATATGTTGCCTCATGTGCCTTACAGTGAAACCTAACCTACTGTAATGCAGTATCGGCTTTTGGATTTGGTATGTTGTCTGCCCCTAACCCCACTGTATATTTCGGGCTTGGTCTTGTGCTGGTACCTCTGTCACTGTAGTCATCCACCAGAACGATCTCCTTCTCTGGGGACGTCTCGAGGACACTGTGGACTGTCCTCAGTAGGGTAGACCAAGCCTCGTTGTAGAACGCAATGACCACAGATGTGGTGGGTAATGTTCGGTAATCATACTTCAGCTTTTTGCAACTGTGAACAGAAATGTAGCCATTAGATTTATAAAATTAAATATTCTTGTAAGTGTCTGTAACTAACTCAAAAACACACTCTGAAATGTAGAAAAGAAAATATTTCTCAGAAAGAGAATGCACTTTCTCAGAGACAGGTGTGATGACATACAGTAGGTGAGGCTGCGCTAACAGCGCCAATGCCTATTGGTCTAAGCGCATAATGACATGTAATGATGTTCTGTCGACAGTAAGTTTGCAAAGTCATTAACTAATGTGTGTACACGATACACATCTAAAGGCAATTACTATATGTTTCCATAAGTGAGAGCTCCAACAGCTGCCACACTGTACTATCAAAAGGCCCGGTTCATTACTTCCTTATCTTGATCTACATTTTCCACTGTACTGAAATGTGACTGTTAAAATTAAGGTTAAATTTCCAAAGAATTTTCTCCTTTCACATGAGCAAAAAGGCTACACTTTGGAAATGAAAAACAATACAAGAATTTTTAAGTTTAAGTCTCCTTAAATCCAATGAAATCGGCGCTCCTTCTCGCAAGGGATGCTGGGATGCAATACTGAGCCTTCCAGAGTACCTATTGCCCAACAGATATGATAATAGCAACTCTTAGCAGATGTGTCTGAGACAGTACTTAAAGCTGTGGCAACTTGCTCTTGTTAGTTTCTTCATAGTATTAGCTAACAGTCGGATTTGTCCACCAATGCCTATGTCACAACAGAGTATAAGTTTGCACTTTTTAAATTAAAAAAAAAGTTCAACCATGCTTTAGAAAATCCTACAATAGTGAGTCTACTCTACGTCTTCTTCCATGCTTCGTCGAGAACACTGAGCTGACAAACATCAGTCACAACATAAAAACCCCTTCACCAGATATTGCTTAATTCTACATTTGTGTACTTTTGAAGGCAGATGACATTCCTTTGGTTGCATTACTGCCCCCTATTGGAACTTTTCTAGTTATTGAATCAAACTCGCAGGTTGCGGGATCTGAATAACTCTTGTTTGACTTTTTGAACAAATATTTCCGCATGCTGTACCTTTAAAATAATATGATCGTTTTAATTGAATATATTGTATTTTTGTATATAAAAATATCAATTTAGGAGGTTAGTAAATTATATTGCCTCTCATCTTCTGCATCAGAGGCTGGTCATTTAAGGAAGTTCGATTCTATTCTGTTCTAACTCCGGCATTTACTCACAGCGGGTTCCACCTCTCCGGCAGCCTGCGGTGCAGGGACACTTTGTCACTGACATAAACGTTGATCTGGTGTTTGCTGATGCTCAACTCCTGTTTTTTGGCCTCCTCTTTGTTCAGATTCAGTTTGACGGCTCTCCCTAACTCACCCAGGGCATTTAAATCTAACGGAGGCTTTTCATAAACGGGCTTCTTCAGGTCCTCGTCCCTCAACAAGTCTCTCTCCTCCACGGGCGTCTGTCGTCGATTTGCTGCGGGCGACTCCCCAGAGTTGTGTTTAAGAAATATCAGACACCCTAATAAAGTGGCACCAAAGAGGAAGAAAAGTAACTTGGGTCTAGTTCTTCTTCCGCAGGCTGCCATTGCGTCGCTTGGTTCTTCGGTGCGAAGCTGAGTTGAGATTTCATGCCCTTTGCGGTTGCTCCTCTTCACCGGAGACTGCAGCGGAGGCAGAAATACTCTCCGGTTGTAACGGCCGGAGGACAGAGACTCCAACTTTACTCCTCCATACTTTCCTCCTCCATTTACGGAGACTTTCAGGCTGGGATGAGTTCGCGTACCGTCGGACAAATGTGTTCCATAAATTCTGAGCGGAAACGTCGTTATCACGACGGACTTTGGCAGTTGCCCCCTCCTCCCCCTCTTACTCACACTTACACACACTCCTCCTTCTCCTCCTCAGCGCGCCGTAGAGTCGTGTAAAAAGGATTAGTAAAGTCGGATTATTAGTTATCTTTTCGGATTAGTTAGCTACATTTAAACCTATAGGCTCGCGCTGTAGGTGAAACAAATCCAGATGCCTTCACGGCACCCGTCCTACTGGTAAAAATGACTTGTCAAAATGTAGAAAGTTTTATTTTAATTATTTTCTGTCATTTGGTGTAATTCCACATTATACGTATATTTAATTAAAAAACACACAATAACTATAAAAGTAAACGTATTCTTATGTATACTGTGGTAGTCGAGTAATTCAAGCGGCTATAAATTGCGACATAAATATAACGAAAGGGCGATGTTTCTCAAAAGGTGGGGCACAGTCAAGAAGTGAACTGTAGAGCATTTAATATTCAGTCACAATTTTATTTATTTTTAACAATATATTAACTTGGTCTAAATTATTTTTAACCACTTACCACTGAACCTATTGTTATTACAACTACCTTACATTACTTAACATAAATTACATAACAATGGGTCACAGGATAAAATAGCACTCTATTTCCCATTATTTGAAGGTAGTATCTTGACACCAAAGATGAAAATTGGNNNNTATATATATATATATATATATCACTCATTTTGTGAAACTAGAACAGGCGACTCATCAGCCAGAGTGTTACAATGGCTTTTAGTGATGTCCAGGTCTGACTGGGCCTGTCGTTAATGCATGAGGGGGTTTTCATTTAAAACTTCCTGGTGGCAAACACATTCCATGCTGCAGATATAGTGTTGCACATGTTCTGTCAGTGATATGAAACACAGTGTCATGATGATGCCGTCATATTTTATTAATTTAGAAAAAGCGTGAACCTGACACAGTTAACACCTTGAGCCGGTGAGAAATATTTGTTACACATAGTTGTTCACAAATTAATCGTGTCCTGAGCTGACAAGTTAGTACCTCCAGCACACAGGTTTTGTAAACGACCTCGTGGAGCTTGTTCCTGTACAATGAACCTCTGTAGCATAGCACAAGGTCAGGTATTAGCCTTGAGTTATTATTAAACCAGAAATATCACCTGTAAACGACTGGAGCCGCACAAACAATCCATTTAAAGGTAAAGAACAATTCATTTGATAATAAAATCATGAATTAAAGTTTTGATAATTAAAGTTTTTATAGACAACCATGTTGCTGATTTACTGACTGGGGCAATTGTTTTAGCACAATATAGAAGTGCTTCATCCAGTCTGTCTGGCTTGAGTCTCGTTAATTTGTTTCGTCCAATTGTAATGTAAATAACATGTATAATGATTGTTGTTCACCCCACGACTGTATCATCTCTCCTGGAGTCAGCTTAGCCCCAGGAACTAAACCTAAACTAAACACCTCTTATATGATGATGCTGAGTACTTGAAGGCGTCACGTGATTCCATCATCGTTGCAGATGTAAATGTAGCAAATTTAAATTAATCACTTGCAGCTTCCAAATCTTTTACTTTACCTTTAAACCTACTAGAATTTCACGTTTAATGCTTTACGCTTCCCTGCCAGTAGGTGGAGCCAAATGACAGAAAATCCTTCAGAGTGGGCTGGAAAATAAACAGCAATCTAATTCCACAACAGTAGGTAGGATCATCCATGAAGATGTGTAGGATACGAGTTAAAATATTTTTTTATGAGATGAAATAGTGTGAATGATCACAAATGCACATGTGGTTAGTTTCGTTTTTATTCCTTCAACCATCCCCAGAGCTGATACCACCCAAATGACCCTGATTTTTAAAAAATTATCTCCCCTCAAAGCAATCACCTGTTCTTCATATCAAGTAATCATCAACGTATTTTCATTATCAGTAGTTGTTACAGTTGCACCGCCCCCAACTGGTCCCCCACTTTTACCATCATTTTAAAAAAGACACAAAAACAAGAACCATGATATTCCCAATGCATTCGTAGACAAGTCTGAATAACTCATACATTCATTCAGGAGGACTACAGAGACCAAATGCTGCCCAGTGACAGACAGCCTTTGGGAGAAACCGTTGCCACGTCAGGAATTCCAAAACAGCTTCACTACATCTCCTTATCCTTATATCCCAGTGGGAAAAAACTGACAAGATCTTCGTCGGAATAGGAATAGGAAAAAAAAAGAATCAGGAGTATTTGTGATGCCATTTCAAGTACAAACATTCACAAAAGAGTCTTCAAAAAAATCTGGCAAGGCACAAATGTAAGATTGAACCAAATCTGTTACTTTTAGCGGCTTTCTGTGACTGAATCAAAAGTGCATCCAGTCTTTATTTAAGGTTAGAGCACAGGGTGAAGACATGAGACATGCACTGGCACATTTCATTTAGGCACAAACAGGATCCTGACGACCAAACCTTTTCAAAGGCACGCTGACAGATACGTCCAAGGAGGAGGGCCAAACAGATTCCAACACTCCCGTCAGCTCACCACACCCACTGGGGCTGATTGCACTTTGTGCAAATTGCTTAATGAATGATTCAAGTCTTTTTAAGGCAGCATAATGGCAACAGACCAGCTGCACAGACAGGACCTGGAAGCCACGCTGCTGCGTTGTCCACTTCCACTTCCAGCTCGTTGACCTGTAGCTGTTTTAGACGAAAATGCCACAAAAATCACATTCCTGGAGTCGAGTTCCCCGTCCTTGGTTTAGTACATCAAGCAACACTAAGGTTGACGTGTTAACAATAGTAATAAATATTAATTGCACATAAGGCGATGCTATGTAGTAAAGCTTGATCTTTTTTTTTTTTTTTTCAATTGTTACTTAATCTGCACTTGGTTTTCCTGGAAAAATATTTGACTGTAAACTCTCAGAAAGGCACTGGATGTGCTGCACAGTCCGACCAGTTTCACTGCTCTCAGGGTGTCACAGAGAGACAGGACAATAACGACACTTCAGGTGTGTGCTGGATTCCATTTAGGCTGCAGAGGCACTTGAGAGAAAGTGACGCAGGCGTCTAGATTCTGGAGTCCAGCTGGCCCCCCTTAATAAAAGCCAACACTTTTCACCTTGGAATTCTCTCCCTCTCCACCGCCAGCTGCACACGGTCCAGCCTTCACGTGGGAACAAAAGCCCTGCACCCGTTAGCTTTAATTGACTTTTCACTTCTCATCAGCCTCCTTCAAACCGACTGCAGAGCTGGAGAATGGGTATCAGCAGAGGAGGCGTCCACTGACTGTCTGTAGTAATTGCACTAAGGTCATGGAAGGTCACTTGAGGCTTCATGGACTCTTCTTCCTTCTACCACTCAAACTTCCACTGCTGGTTTCTGTCTCCTGGGTTACAGTGCTGCATCTGGACGTCTGTACGACCTTCTGTCGTGCGGTAGGCCGTCACACACATGCGTAGGTGGGGGCTGTAGATGGTCGCGTCCTGAAAGGTTTCAAAGTAGGAGAGTGGGTTAGGCTCGGCTCCATACATGTACTAAACTGAAACTGCTGTGTGTGTATGAATGTGTATGAAATCCCACATCCAAAAAAGTTAGTACACTCACTGACAAAGCAATGATAAAAACTTAAATCTAATTTCCTGTAATATACCTAATTTGGTAAATATTTATGTTATGCAAAAGGACAGAAAAAAAACCCTCTTTTTGCTATTCTTTATTTTTTACCTTTAAGAATAAATTTCATAATAAGGTAAGCGTTTTCTCATTTTTACACCAATTTTAACCTGCGGCTCGATGTCATTTTTCTAATTCTGATTGTACTTAATGCACATTCAGCAGCAGTTTCTATCTTTGGCCCTTATCTTTGGCCCCACGTTTTTGTGATCAAATAATTCCACTAACTCTTCCTGGACGTGAGATCCATGTGTGCTGTGCTTTCTGTGTGCAGCCCTTACACTTCTGAACTCCCAGAGGACACTGGGAGACCTGACCTCCCCGTCACGAGGACAGTGTCTCATCCCGATGGCGGGCTGTCCATCGAGCACTTCAGCGCACAGCTCTGTCACAGAGTTGAAACGGATCTCCTTCTCAGAGGTGTATTCAAAGTACTGCAACGGAAGAGGGAACACTTTTAACCCGGCGCTCCTTCATGTTAGCCCTGCCCTCTGGTCAGTGCAGGGGTCAGGGGTTCTAGTTGTTCTAGTTCTTTTTGGTTCTCAGGGGCAGGGGAAGACAAAGGAAGACAAAACATAACCAGAACATAGACCAGTCCGAGGCAGTTTCTGAATGTCAAGCATGTTTTCAGACATGTCTCTGCTTTGCTGAAGCCAAGGACAAACAAAATGAAAAAGGGTTTTTTGTTGTAGTAACTGTTGACATTTCAGAGACTACTGACCATAAAACATGCTCATAAAAGGATGTCCTATTTCATTTGACTCTATTTCTTGTAACGCAGCCCTGAGTGACCAGGGTTGGGATGAGGAATGTGATTGGTTCTCAGTTAGTTGGTCTATTATTAGCTCTCTCCCTTCAGATTTGTTCCTTCTTCAATTTAGTTGAAAGAAGCACAAATCACAACAGGTGATTATGAGATCACTGCCCGACTCTCCCTCATATGACGCTGCTTCAGCACGCCTCTCTGTCTCCCCCATCGCTCTTCATTCAGGAGGCTGTTCAACAAACACAGTGGTGCAGGCTGCCACCATTTTTTCTTTTTTTTCAAAGGAATGGAGAATCTTTTATTCTCTGCCTCTGCTGTAATTCCAGAATTCTAGGCTGGACCGGTGTTGCATGGCATGTTTGCATGTGTGCCCAGGGATCTCATCAGTGTCGATGGAACACTGGCTCACTCAGTGAAGCAGATGTGTTCACAAACTTTTTTTTTTTTTTTTTTTTTACTTTTTCCTCCTCTGGTGTCATTTCAACTTTCTTGCCCAGCAGGAGAAAAGATGCAGTCATCCCTGGGCGACCCATTAAAGGCAGGGTCAGGCGATCAATCTTCATCCAGTACTTACTTATCCTTCAGTTCTCTTCTTATACATTTCTCAGGTCTTTTGGGGGGGGGGGGCTCCTGACAGCTGTTTCTAATAAAAGACCCACTGGAGGCTCCTGTTGCCTGCCCGGCTAACTTATTTACCCCGCCTGTGCGATTCATGCCACCTGTGAGGCTCGTGTATCTTTTAAATGGAACATATTTCTTCCGTGCACGAGGGGAGATAGAGCAGGCGGACGGCAGTAAAGGGCCTACAGGGTTTTTGTTTCAGCAGGCAGCCATTTACACATTGATTTTTCTGTCATACATGGTGTTTTTTGTGACTGGGGATACCTGATGCAGAGAATCAGAGAGGTAATCAGATAGCCCAGCAGAGTGGGGGTGCACAGGAGGAAGCTGTTCATCGTAAGACTGCCAGCACTTACTATACAGTACACCCTCAGAGACAAAGAATAAGTAATCTGTGGATTACTTATCCATCCATCACTGCAGTGAAGCACCACTGATTTCACCCTGTGATATTTTTGGATGTCTGTGGATGTTTTTCTTGCTTCATTACATTCAGGGAGGACATCAGGCCAAAAAAAAAAAAAATCAATGGTGGCAACTCACCGTGAGTGTCGGCAGAAGTGCCGACACTTTAATACAGATCTCCCAGCGTGCATGAACGGGAGTGATGGGGAGAAATGAGGGGTGAAAAAATGTAAAATGTACCTGGTTACCTCCCTGACCGTGACAGCCAAACAAAGAGAGGTGGGCGCCGGTCGGATTGTGGTCCGGAGCGTTGTAGTCCAGACACTCAGAGTGTATTCCTGTGCTGTGCACCTGGCAGGAGCAGATCAGGAAAATATTAATCATATTAACAACACAGTATTAACTCCTGAAGTACGTCTCTGTAGTACTGCCTTCATTTAAGGTGGTAAACTCATCACAAAAAAATCACAGAACTTTGCAGTGGCTTATACTGTAGTACTCCTCTCAGGCTTCTGTATTTTCACCTGTGTTTGTGTCAGTCATTTTTTTTTATTTCCAACCCAAGCATGTTGCTAGGATCAAGACAATCTGCATCAAAGCAGCGTAATAAGTCTCTTTTAAGATGGGGGGCACTCACAGCCCCGTGCCATCCTATCCTGTCTTCAGGTACGTGTAGGTAGGGATAGATGTTCTTCAGGTACCACTGGAAATCATTGCATTTGAGCCTCTCCCTCAGTAGCAGCCGCTCTGAGATGTCACCATAGTTTTCCTAGAAACAAAAAAACCCAGACACATGTTAAGTGTTTAATCAGAAACGTATTAACAACCGAACTAAACATCCTTCAGGTGACACACATCTCACAGCCTCTCCCTGCTGTTTAACAGCTGAACACACTGACGCCAGTTCACACGTTTACAGCGTCGAGCGTCAGCTCTATTAGCAGGAAAAGGTTGTTGTAATTTAGTAACAAAGAAAAACAGCTGCAAAAAAACTCCCAGAACTGCAGTTGCCCCAGGCAGCAGACATGATCAGAGCGGCTCCTCACTAACATAAACAGTCTTTACTGAATAAAACAAAACTCTATCACTACAACAGGGCTCTGTTTTCAGCTGTGAAAAAAGACATTTGTTACACTTTACCACTCTTCCAACGAGTCAATTATGTTGTTCTATGGATTTTTATACTCTCCAAAAGGGACTCCATGGTGCAGTATTAAAAAGGGTACATATTGGTTTCTAGTTCAGTTTTAAATTAGAAAAGAAAAAGGACCCAAATCTAGTATGTACTGTGGATTCATCCTGCTCACAGTACAGGAGCAACTTGTCCTGTAGCCTTACAGGAAACTCTGGTTTTGCAGATACTCAGCAGTGAAAGGATAGGTTGCTCAAACCAACAGATCACCAGGAAGAGGAAGAGTTTCAATTAGAAAATAGTAAATGAATGTCAAAGCAAAACTGTTGCAGGCAAAACAGGTTGTTCACTTCAATGCAAATCAGGGGCCAACCCAGGCTAAACATGTAGGCTGGCAGTGAATATGAGCTGTGTGTGTGTGTGTGTGTGTGTGTTACTAACCTTATCTTTATTATTTGTGTCTGTCAAAATCGCTTCTGTCTTCTTTATTTTTTTATTACATGTATTTAATCAAAAGACACTGTGACGCACAGATCAATAATGCATAATGAACGCTGTAGTGACTGCCTCAAGAATCCTGCTGTCTTCACTGTCCCTCTGACCAAGTCATTTATAGTTTGATCAAAGATCGCTGGCAGTAACCTGCGTTTTCAGACGGGTGAAAACTGAGATCCATGAATATTTGATGACGCTCAGTACTTAGAACCTGAGAGTCAAACAGACACGCTGACACTCCTGACAAGAGATTTGTTTAATTCTGTCTGCATCAGACAGAGAAACGATAAATAAATTGGGAGCAAACAGTGTAAAGATAATGTTTGTAGATCGTGGTGTCTCCATCAGGTTTAGGTTGAAAACAGCTATGGAGAAAAATGTAGGGTAAAAGTTTTTTATACTAAGGACCAGTTGTTGGTTGTTGGGTCAATGATTGATACATTTTCAAAATAAAACACATTTTACACATTGTTAGTATCTGACTCTGAAAGATTTAAGTTTATTTTATTTTAAAAAGTTACCAGATTATGGCTTAATGCATTGTTTCCCAGACTGGGTCGTGGCCCTCAGGTGGGTCGCAAGAGGTTTTTTTTTTGGGTTGTCTCGCATAATGTTTGTGAAAATACGTTTGGGAAACACTGGCTTAATGAAGAAACTCAGTGAAAGTAAATTATAATTTTTTTCACTGTGGCTGATGCAGGAGTTTGGGGATCCCTGCTATAGGATGTTTGTTATTTACAGTACAGTAAGAGTAAATACAGACTATTATTGTGTGTCTGCTCCAACATGAAGCAGTGGCAGTGTTACCTTTCTGGCTGGAGGATTTCTGTTGTAGAAGTGTAGTTTGTAGGAGTCCATCCAAACCTCGGCAGCTCGTACAGTGTTCTGCAGGAAGTTAGGGCGTGCGTATGGAGCTTTTTTGGGGAACACGTGGCCCACATGAGAACAGGGGTGAATCTCCAAGCTGCCCCCACACTGCCACACCTACAGGAGGCGCAAGATAGAGATGGTCAGTAATATTCAAGTGCAGAATTGTGACAAGTTCAGATATGAACAACTAAACCAAGGTGAGAAAATGTCTCAGCTCTCTGGAACATAAGAGCTGACTACTAAAATTATTATTATTATTATAAGATGAGATTTTTTTTTGATTATTTTATTCCAATAATAACTTTTTTAAATCAATGCACAAAGAATTATTATCATTATTTGCTTTAAGTCCCTCCGAGCTACGTGCTATAAATCATGAGACAGAGTGGCCTCCGTCAATTTGATTGATGCAAACAAGTGAAAAGCAACACCAGTGTCCAAACAACGGTAACGGCTAATATCAAGGTGTAGTTTCAGATGTCACGTGTGACTGATATCTGACACTGACGTGCGTCTCCGTGTCATCTGCTAACCACTGCTGTTGGTTGTTCAGGAGCAATCAAGTTGGTAATGAAAAACCAATTGTCCTCAGGATATTGATCTATTTTTGTGTTTCAATTAAAAAAAAAAACCTGAGTGGATGAATGCCCTGTGTTTAAGTGAGAGACTTTTACATCTGTGTGGCTGCAGAAGTCAGTCTTTCCAAAAAGGTGAGGACTCACTCTGAAGGACAGCTCCAGGTTTTCTCCCCCCCACACCTCCATGCCCGTGTCATATGTGCCGAGGTACTCGAAGTAAGCCTTACTCACAGCGAATAATCCACCTGCCATTGTAGGGGATCTGGAAGACATTTAAAGCAGATAGAATCCTGACCTGTTTGTCAAAAAAACGCTCTTCTGGTGAGTTGACTTTATGAGACATCAAAGTGTCACCTGAGTGGCTCTATTCTAGACTTGCGCTGCGATCGTTGTGCAAAAGGGACTGAATGCCACTGGAAAGTCAGCCTCCAGTCAAACCCTCCAATCATTGGCTCATCTGTTTGCATGTAAAACTCAAAGGTGTTCCAGTCGATGGTGTCGATCACGGGGCAGACGATGGCTTTGGCATTCTCGCCGATCCTTCACATGACAGTTAAGATAACTTTGTGTTTTTGTTTTTTTTTTTTTACATTGTACTCAACCAAATCAACTCACCTTTCCAGCAGAGGTTCAATCCAGCCGGGGACACACTCACAGTGGCAATCAAGAAATGTCAGCACATCACCTGTGGCATAAGTGGCGCCAATTAGACGGGCACGTACCAGTCCTTCTCTTTTGTTGGTCTGGATGAGCCGCACGCGGTCTAGGTTGCTGATGTAGTCAGCGAGTTTGGATTTCAGGTAGTCTGTAAACATGAAAACACAAACACATTAAATACACATAAAACCTCATCATTTAAAGTGGCCAATCAGAGCTCAGCTTAGAATAGTGAACGTCTATGTAGTAGAGTCTACACTAATGTTCGGTTAGTTCGGGTTAGTGGTCAGGCAGTGGTCAAGTCCCATCCACTTTCATGGTGGTTAATTTACAATTATAATTCCCTTACTCAAATTTTGTTGTTTTTTTTTCTTTATTTTATTGAAGAAAACCTCATTACAGTCTGCAGATATACACAATATGTCTGGTTTTAGCAAAGTCAGCACTCAATCCTGATTGGCCTGCAACTAAGACTGTGTTTTTAATATTTGCCCCTTGAGTAATTAAGTTTGACACCTCTGTGTCAAGGGGAAGAAAATTAAAACGGGCTGGTGTCCTCACTGTGGTTTGGGTTGAGCTCCAACACACGCTGCTCATTTCCCGCCAGAGACTACTGTATATAAAACTAGCTTCCAGTTCACGGTTGAAACCCAACCTAAAGAAGTACTGGTGACAGTAATGGGTACTGACAAGCATACAAATGAAAATACTGCTATGAGTTTGTAGTAGAGATAGAAGGTACAACCGTACCTTTATTACCTGTCCAAACGAGTACACCGTTAAACACTGTACTGTACACTGTATCAAGAGACCACTTTGACTGGAGGTCAGATAAGAACTCCACTTTTCCTTTTACTACTACTGCGGTGACTAAACCGATGCTAACAGAGACGGCAGAGCCAACCAGCCGTGTCATTGTTTTAAGAGGCTTATATTTTTGCTGGTTCACAGAAAAACAAAGTCCTGAAGTTTTCAGAAACACATGGAGTCAGCAGCATTTTCACTGAAAACCGTCTGTCTAAAATGAAGACCCATGAATGCAGCACAATATTGATCCAAATAAAAATAGAAAGACATCTCTATAGTAGGCGACACTTTTCCTTTTCCTTGACTGCCTTGACTCTAACAACATGTGACTGATATCATCGGGCGTCCTATTGGCTTGATGACAGGTGGAGTCACACTAGGTTTGGAATGCTGAATCCAGTTGATCCAGCTCAGAAACAGGAGAGAGAAGCAGAGTCAGTCTTGTAGTCTCTCTCTCTCTCTCTCTCTGTCTGTCTGCAGTAACTCTTCTGGTTTAGGAGCGGCATTTTTGGCATTCCCTTTTGGTCAGGGCGGTTGGAAGAGAGGAAATGATGTCATGGGAGCACAGAGCTCACCAAAGTCATCATTATGGTGCAATGTCTCCAAAACACACAGACAGGACCAGGTGGACTAAGTACTGGTTCCATTAGGACATACAGCACAGACATCACTCCTTCATCCAGTGTCTGAGACAACATGAATCTGTCTAAAGTCAGAAAGTCAGACAAACATTCGACCATCATATGGTTTTCAAAAGGATCAGAATGAGAGGTCAAATGTGGTGTTTCAATTAGATTAGTTAACCAATTAATTAGGAACTCACACAGTATATGTATTTTTTTAAGCCCCTCCTAACCGTAAAATGGATTGCATGGTAGAAAATGAAATAGAAAAAGTTAAAGTAGAAGACATTAATGTACTGCTAGACTGTCAGACCTCGATCA